AATATTGGTATACCAATAATTGGTGATACAGTGGAGCGCTCGAATCGGCTGACATTCCAGACAATTACGCAGATTGAGAAGACTGTAAATCGAATTGAGGTTAATGTCGCGTCACACTTCACACCAAAACGATCCTTCAAAACTCCTCACCTTTCGATTCTTCCGTTTGTTAAACGTGCCACAATTCCAATCAGAGCTGGCAGGCCGGCAGTTTTCTGATGAATCCAAGCAACTTGCTCCATGTACGCAGGAGAGTTGTCTGCGGCTAACACTGAATTTATTGCACAAGCAGTTTCTGCGAGAGTAAATCCAACTGACGGTATTTTAAAATATATTGGGTTTGTGCTGGATACTTGAAAGATTTCCTGATTGCGACTCGTAGCAAGAATCCGACACTGAAAGTAGTCCGGCTTTAGGAATACGAAACAATATGCAAACCCCCTGAAAAAACACAATGATCACAAACGATATTTGCCAAAATTTTTTAAGATTCTTACGATTAACAAGCGTGGATATACATATCTGTGTTTCCGAGCGATTATCCTTTACCGGAACAGCACTGTCTGGTAAAGGTGGGTTCCTTACCTATGGGATGCAAGCTAAAATGACTGGAGATCGGAGCATGCCGGACACACTATTACACCAGCAACAGACTGTAAAAAACTTCTAAGCAATAAAAGATGGAAGTTGGGATCGATGCAAAGTGCTTAAGAAGAGAACAAACGTTAAGCTGGTCGAACCATCGCACGCTTTCTGAAAGATATACATCGTCCAGAATCACCAATGCATTCGGTTTATCACGAAGAGCAGCTTTGGCCTGGAAAACCATACATCACTCTTGTAATCAACAACTGCGAGAAACCGAATTCCCCAAAAAAAAAAATTTCCTCCTCGAAAACAGCTTAAAAATTTTTTCGGGCAAAAAGGCTCAAATCACTCATTTTTTTTTTTAATGAAAAAAAAAGTATTTAAAACTTGCCAATGGTAGAAATTGAGTTGTGTTTTCTTTTCCTGTAAGAACCACTGCATCGCTTGCCAAAACCATAAAATTTGAAAAAAGTGCTGGAAGCTCATCCACACACGTGCGACCATCACGAACCCATATGACGTGCTCGTAAAATCTGCAACATGAGAACAATACTAAACACACCGTACAATCAGCGCCGTCAATCCCTGCACTGTGCTCAACGCATAGCATAATTATTCTCTGACCATGCAATAAAAAAAAAAAAACAATTACACTTGTCAGAATGTGCCACTTTTTTCAGATTAATAAAGATTAAGGCGGCTATTGCGAGACAGAATTTCACTCAGTGGAAGAACAATCGGTTGATTCACTCATGCCACATCGGATAAAACTTCAAAAATGCTTGAGCGTGCCACACATCACGACACCTTGAAGCCACTAAAGCCTTACCAGATGCTTTTGTCGGGAGAACCGCTGAACTAATAATCAGCCGTGAAACGTGAGTCGAAAAAAAAAATCAATCACTAGGCGGTGCAGCACCAGTGTTACCGTAGACGGAAAAAATGTCAGTTATGCAGATGGGAAATCAGGCTATGCAGAAATTTCAGACAACACTTTAAAGAAAAGACAAAAATTTTGAGTTAATTGGACTATACCACTCTATCAATACCTATGCTTCTTCCTTCATCAATTACTTGTCTCATAAATCGGGCCAGATCTCACTTTCCACTATTTTCTTATTGTTTAATTCCGAATTTGAAATTGTTTCATTTAATTTTAAACATATTTACAGTTGTTCATGGAAAGAGAGAAATATATGCTGAAATAAATGACGTGCCAAAGCAATTACTGTAACAAAGGGTTACAAAAGAAAAAACTGAAAAATGAATGGTGAAAGAAACACACCTACTGAGCAGCGCTGGACAACTGCGCAAAACTTCTGCAGCCAAGCAACTCTTGCCACAACCAGCAAATCCATGAACGACAAGCCAAAACCGATCTGCAACAGATCATCTTGAATCGTGAAATCTGTGGCTCGAACAAAGCTGCAATCAGAGGAGTTGAAAAACTGACAAAACGAGGTCAACAGCGATAAAAGCTACGGGGTTAGCAAAACACTTCAAGAATCTGATCCATTTACGATAAAAGAATGAGATCATTCTGAGCATATCTGCATCAAAACAGAACGAGGGAGGATTAAAAGCTAAAATATGTTAATGAATTATAAAATTTCCCCATAAGTAAACTTATTTTTCCGCTGCTTCTCATCCCCAAAAAATGGTTTTCGAAAACATGGCAGAATTTTAATTCACAAACAATTTTAAATGTCATGGCTTTTGCTCTCAGTGGCTGCATCAATGGCGAGAAAAAACGCAGCAATGAAACGGCAGCTTTCAGTGTAGCAAAGTACTAATATCAGATTATCACTACCATTTTGGCTAAATTTTGAAGAAAGAAAACTCTCCGATATGCCATATACTATTATATTTTGAATATTATGTTACTGTACATAAAACTCTGTCACTTTAATGTGGATAGAGACCTCTAATATATTGCTACACATAATTTCTGATTTTTTTTAGTTCTCAAATTTCTATTATTCATAACTGTATTTTCATTACATAGGTCCTTACTGGATGATTTAGGCCCGATGTGTTCTTGGTGTATCATTTTATATAATTTTTTTGAACTTTCTGCGCTATTACTTTTCGTATTTTACGAAGCGCCTACCGAGAGATGCAAGCCGTATGAGTACTTCCTCCAAATCTCTGATCAGTTCCCTCCTTTCCACATAATTATAGAGTCGATGCGGCACATTTCCTTCCACTGACAATCGGAAATTGATTTGTCTGTCAGTGAGCAGTGGACGCTCCTCATGTACGTAGCTTTTCGAGAGAATTTCCGCCAGATGAGGCTGCCCATATTTTTCGAAATACGAGATCAGTGGCGAGAGATCGTCCGCAAATCGCCGATACTGCCGGATGAATTCCGAAACGCGCAATATATGGCTGGGCTGAAAAAAAAAAAAGTGGATAAGTGAACAGCAAAGGATCTAGAAAAATGCTAGTTTCCAGCATCTATGTGAATCATATACATTCAGCAAGCACAGCTGGAATAGTAATGTGGAAGAATGAGAGACAACAGATGGACGAAGCGAGTTGGCACTTCCGCAATGCAGAGGTGGGAAAACCATTGGAACGTTTACAGAGCTACGCGGATGCAGCAAGCTCAAAGTACAGAATTTACTTGTTGCACCAATTATCTGGAGGCACGCAACGATGAAACAACAGCTGACCAAAGCAGCACGCATCAAAATGGCCAAAGTATGGTGAGAGCGCAACACTTATTAGCTGAAAATTTTCTCATAAAATTCCCAGAATGATTTTTTGAGTTGCTAAAAAAATGAAGTTGGAAAAAGAATCGAAACACTCCAGTGGCTAGCTACATCGGCGGGGGTCCGGACTTCACACAAAACGCTGTTCCAGGACAGCGAAAATTAAAATTGAAAAAAAGAATTT